AGCCAATTGATTGCGTGCAGTTCTGACTGACAGTAGAACTTGAGGATTTCCGACAAAATCCTTTCTTATCCCTATCTGGACATTGCTGATATGAAGGCCCAGCCTTGCATAGTTTTCAAAATCAGTCATGTATGGTGTATTTCAAAATACAGGAAGTATGCTGTAAGGATGTGTGTGGATTAGGTATTGACTTCCTCTGCTTTAAATGTAACCATTCTTTTTTACCCTTTTCTCTTTGTCTTTCAGTACAGCAGTTTCTCACTTAATAGATGCCATGACTTTTGCTAAGTAAACAATAACGTAGGAAGAAATGCAACTGTGTTTATCTCACCCTTGTGGTTGGATTGGGTATCCGCTGTCCTAAAGTGATAGGAAGTGCTAGAAAGTCTTGATACCATCTGTGTTATTCTGATAGACACAACTGAATTTGAGAGTAGATGAGATTATTTATTTTACAGTTATGATCAACCTCTGCATTGCAGTTACCATTTTTTTAAAGAGGAGGCACACCAGTTATAAGGTATCTTCCCAGAAAACTGGAATTGTATATTTGTATGGGTCCCAAGTGTGTCACATAAGGTTTTAGGATTATGTACATTCTATACATTTCTGTAATTATGTAGGCATCTCTCCTTCATTTTTCAAATCCTCAGAAAAGCAGATGATCTCATACTAATACAAAGGAACTACAAAAATTGCATATCTTCTGGGCATGTTGCAGCAAAATTGTGCTTATGACTACTTTTTTTAAAAGTATTCCCCTGAGGCCAGGAAGAATTTAACTTTATACAGTATCCTCTTTCTGTTTGCATGCCAGAGCAGCTCACCTTATCATAGATGATGTCTTGATAATGTTCCATAGAAGGAAATGTAAGTGTCTTGTTACTTTAATCTTTTAAAAAAGCCAAAGGCAATGTGATTTCTTAACATTCTTTTCAGGGTTATTGTTTTTGTGACATTCTAGAGTAAATCCTTGAATGAAAATGTAGATGTGCAGTCTTACTGTATTTCTGATCATAATTATATAAAATCAGAAAGAAGGAAAACTTTTCCTAGGTTAACTTTTGTGATGTTCAGTACAAAGGGCTATTAACTAGCTGAAATTCTATCATATCTATAACTTGGTTGTCTTGGATTTTTTAACAGTCTTAAGCTGCATGCAGATTACTGTCATTATGCTTCTTTTACAAAGGTTGTAAGAAACAGCTTTTGTAACGCTTACAGAACTCTTCAGGCAGTTGCTACCTATTTTATTTTTTATTAATGCTATCTCTGCTTATTTCAGATTTTCCCTTTTCTTTTATCTATTCAACCATTTCCAAGCAACATCTGCTAAATACACCTCTCTCAATCCTGTCTCCAGTACTTCAGCTTTTTGACCAGCTTCACAGAATCTTCATATCAACATCAGACTTGTCATTCTAAAGCTCTGTTCCTTTCTTGTTTTTGTCAGAAGCCTTGCCATACAATTAGTGAAGAAATCAGATAATTTTTGCCCAGTAATGAGCAACATCAAGAGCCTTTGGGGCAGCAAACATAAAATCTTCCATGGTACACGTTGAGGGCATAGAGTACAGTGATGTAGGTATAAAATGACATGACCTTGATTTTCCTTGGGAGGAGCAAGATGGCATTGTAAAGGCGAAGTCTTTCATTGTTAGCTGTTACTTCTCTCCATATGTCACTTAATGCTTCCCAAAAAAACATCGCTATGGGAAAACATCGCTAAGCGAAACACCATTTCCCATACGAATGCATTGAAAACCAGATTTCCTTAAGCAAAATTCACCATAGGAAACATCGCTAAGCGAAACGCGGTTCCCCCATTGGAATGCATTGAATAGGTTTCAATGCATTTCAATGGTTTTGACAGGTCCGTTTTCGCTATTTTGTGTCTTAAAATGCTCAGAAACTGTTTAAAATGCTTGGAATCGTTAGCGCACCCTGTAAAACCTTTGCAAACTTAATTTGGTTTTGTTCTGTGTCTTCGTTAATTTTTGGTGAATTTCCCCCCCATTGGAATGCATTGAACTGTAGGTGTCAAACAGCTGTCAAACCTACAGTTCAATGCATTCCAATGGGGGAGACAAAAATTCACCAAAAATTAACGAAGACCCAGAACAAAGCCAAATTAAGTTTGCAAAGGTTTTACAAGGTGCACTAACGATTCCAAGCATTTTAAACAGTTTTTGAACATTTTAAGACACACTTAAAATAGCGAAAACGGACATCGCTAAGCGAAACAGGAGGACCTAAACTGTCATCGCTATGCGAGGCATGGTCCCAAACATCACTATGCGAAATTTCCCCATAGGAAACATCACTAAACGGAGCGCAAGATCGCTCCAAAAACCTCATCGCTAAGTGAATACATCGTTAAACGAGACAATCGCTAAGCGAGGCACCACTGTAATATTGCTATGAAAATCAAGCATCTTGTTTGCACTTTTAAAAGGTAATTTAAATTATAGTTAAAAGAGCACATGGCTATGGAGAGAAGTGATGGGAGTGTAATTCCCCACTGTGCATTCTGGGAGAAGATCGTTCAGTAGAATGGATTTTGGAACTGCTGATTTTCTGAAGAATTTCAGTATTACCAGTGAGCACCATGAAAGCCAGTGTAGTGTAGTGAATAAGAGTGACAGACAAGGACTCAGGAGACTGGGTCCACTAGGCCATGGAAGCTCATAGGGGTGTAGCAAGGAGCAAAACCACTCCTTGAGTATCTCACCTTGAACACACTGTAAGTTGCACCCAACTTGGTGGCATGTAACGGTAACTGTGGGCACTCACAAATGGCTTGAACTAAATGCTTTCCTTGTTTGGGAATGAAAAGACATTAACTGTTAATGGCATCTCTTGTGTGATTCTTCTTTGCAACTTTTTTCAACTCCTTAGTTCTCATATTAACATGACTAATTAAGTTGGATTTGAAAGTATAGCACCATTTAGTGGTCCTTAGTTCTTAATGGGAAGCTATTACTAATAATTATGCTAAGAAGTTTGAAAGTGAAGAACAGATTTAAGGAACTAAATTTGGTGGAAGGAGTTCCTGAAGAACTATGGATGGAGGCTCGTAACATTGTACAGGAG